CCCAAGCCCACCTGATCTTGCATCAGTTTTTCCATCCTGAGCTGGAAACTGCAGTAGTTTCAACACTTGAAAATAAATCCTCCCTTGCAAGTCAACCGGGAGTAGCTAGACCTTGCACCCAGTTTAACCCTGGCCTTTTACTGAGTTCAAAATCTGTCTTTCCCTCTCACACAGGTAACTTCTGACTGGTTGGGCACTGGAGGGGAGATCTCATGCCATGTGATCTCATGGAGTCATGTCCCCAGGTTCGTAGAGATTTTCCCTTGTGTTACAGGATTAGCCAAATACGTTAAGGAGTTTCACTTTGTTCTGCCACTTATTGCTAGGAGCCAGGCTGATCCTAGACCTGATATGGAAAAGAGAGCGCCATGTCCCTCTTCTCTTTCCTCTAAGCAGACTGGTTTGTGCTAGGGCATGAATTTTCATCCCTGGGGCACTGTTGCATTAAAGGGCCTAAAATACTTGCGCTTGACCAATGAGTGGTTTTTTTTAAGGATATTACACATGCACATGGATGACAAGGGAAGAATGACAGGGGAGGCAGGACCGGGTGAGTTTCAGCAGAGGAGAGGGTACCGGAGCCGATGGTCTGCACAGCAGGCAGCCTGCTGTGGTAGTGAGACAAACCCGGTAGCTGGAGAGAGCTTCTCCAGTGCTAAAGGAAAGCCCCTAACCCTGCTGCTCATTACTCTTGCCACAGGATTCCTAGAGAATGGGTGCTGGCCCACTGGCAGGAGAAACTATCCCAATATTTAGGAGATTGCGAAATGAGAGGGAGAGGGGAGAAGATTTGTGAAAGGGTGGTAGGAGACTGGATGAACTATGGCAAGTGAGTTCTATAGAAGACAAAAAGCAGAGCCGGTATCTTGCAGCCTCACAGCTTTAATGTTTTCCTCCTTTACCCCTCCTTCACTCAAGCTGAGACCTTTTAGGACAAGTAGCTTTTTTTCTTACTTGTCTATTAAATACTTATCATGAAGCCTTGTGTTTGGCTGTGTCATCTGCTTCTTCACTGTGCTCACCTCATGGGGTGTGCAGGGCTCTTGTATTCCTCACTAGGAATAGCTACTGTTAGCTCCAGCACTGCCTGGTTCAGCCTCTGGCATCGCCCTGTACAGAGACTTTTCCCCACTCAAGCTGCAGGTACTTTGCAGTAGTCAGTGGTGCAGAGTGGAGCTGTAGGAGAAAGGCAAGCACGGGTGAAGAGCCCTTTAACCTGAGCTGTGAAGCAGCCCGTGCTCATGCTGTCTCTGCCCTGGGTTGTCTTATTACACTCCTTCCCCTACCCTTTTCCACCCCTAGCCAGAACGCAGTAGGAAGTTGCATCTCCAAACATTGCTTTGACCATTTTCCTGACAGACTAACCCAACAGCCCCAGCGTTCCCACCCTGACCTGAGGGGCTGGCACTGCCGTCCTTGGAGCCGCTGTCACGTACGAACAATGGTCCAAAGAAGCTGCTTTTGCTCCCAGAGGGGCTCGGTTGCCCCTGGACCCTGTCCTCACCAGGTAGCACCCAGCAGTGTAGGTGGCAGAAGCTGTCAGGACAGCGTCATGATGGCCTTCACCTTCTTTCTAAACTGGAAAGAGACTCTGGGCTGTGTGGGAATCTGGTGACAGTTCCCAGTACGCCTGGGTGTGGGGAGCAGAAGACCCTACGTGCTGTCCCACTGATGTAATATCAGCTAAACGATGGCATCCCTTTTCTTCTGGTAGCTGGTGTGCAGCCTGAGCTTGTGACAGTGTCAGCAGTCCTGCATGCCGGGCTTTTGTCCTGGGGAGGGAATTTTTCCTCTTACATCACTTTCTTCTCAGTCTGCTGTTCGTAGTTATGGTTTGATAAAGTCCCTAAATACGTGCTTAACTTCACTCATGTGCTGCCAGGTTTTCAGCTTAGTTTCCTAAGGATGTGAGACACTCGTGATTCTCTTCTCACTCCCCGCAGCTGTCTGTCTGTCAGCTGCCCCCCTAATAATTTTTCTAGCTGTTGGCCCTTTTCAGCCAAATTTTCTGGAGACAGGGATCTCAAGCATAATAAAGCTATTGCAAATCTCCTGAAGAGCAGGGACTTGGAAGGGAAGAGACTGAAGTGCCCCGAAAAGAGGAAATGTTGCCACGTGAGCTGAGCCCCCATTAGACCCCAGAGGACCCAGTTAAGAGAGAGCCTCACATGCCACTCACTCTTGGGAGAAGCCACCATCAGAGCTTGTTACTGACCACGAGCTGCACGTTTCAAGGAAACCATGCTGAATCTCTCCTGTGTTCTTGGTGTCTAAGATATTTCTCCAGGTCTTTGATTTTTGGATACTTTTCCTATAAAATGCATGTGAGAGAAACAGAAAGGATGGATTCTTTGAGGGTTTTCTGGACTTATCATCCATTAAGCCTGTGCCCTCTCATGTGCACAGGCCAGAGGACATAAAAACTCTTAACCACCCAGCTCAGATCGCTGCTTAGCTCCACACCTGCCTGCGTTTTGGATGAAGGCTCCCTATTTTTCCCAATGATGGAGACCAGTCCCATTGTATGGGAGGTGAGGCTAAAGACATGATGCTTTCCAGGCTGTGGAAGCAGCACATCTCAGTGTGGGTCAGCAGGCAAATTGTCAGTGCAGTCAGATGGAATAACGTGAGCTGTTCCAGAAAGGAGCACCTTACCACAGGCAGCACCCTACGCCAGGAACCTCCCAAGCTGTCTGACAGGGAATAATGAGGGCTGGAGTGTTTGCCTCCTAGATACCTCATTAGGGGCGTAAAGGACATTCAGCACTCAGAGCCCTGAACCCTCTACTGAAATTAGATACGTAAAGCCTTCCCGAGTGAACTTTTCCCAGGTTTGGCAGTAAGGAGAGGCCCTGTCATTGCTCCTGTGCCTACTACTCCGAGTACTTGCCCAAATTACAAGGGAGCTGGGTTCAGCTGCTGACAGCCTCCAGGGAGGCCCATCCCAGGCAGTTCATCTCCCAGGTGAACGGCTCCACACCTCAGCCATGGAGCCACTGCAGCCATTTCTTTCCCCTCTCCTTGTCCTGATGAAGTTCACAGCTGGATGAGCTCTGGCAGGGGAACGACCGAGAGTCACCCCCATGGTGCAGCACATCATGGTTTGAGGTGAGGGAGGTGAATGCTGTCACAGGAGGGAACAGATTACAACCTGTCTTGCCCACTCCTTTTGTGAGTGCTCCCATGGTTGGTTTAGTCCAGAAATTGGGAGCATTAGGACCTGGCTGGGCTGTGCCCTGTGCTAGATAGGACACATCCTGTCTTCTCTGTTGCCTTCTGAGACCCTCTCCCCATTGAGTTCCCTGGGGTGACAGAGGCAAAGTGCAGGTCGCTCTTGTGCCTGGGTTGTCAGATCACTGCTGCTGCGGCTCCCAGTCCCGGAGTGGGGGATACACAGACTATGAAACTTAGAGACGTGCACTGAATCAGCACCACAAGTGCTTGGGAAATCCTGAGGTCAGAGGCACAAGCGCTAGTGGCTGTGTGGCACGGTTAGCAGGTAGCTGAGCATTAGTGGACTGGAGCACTACAATTACGTAGGCTGCTGCTGATCTAATCCTCCATCTCTTTTGCCCAAGGTCACATAAGAATTCCATGACAGAGAGGCAATTTGAAACCAAATCACCGGAGCCCTAAGCTAATGTACTCGCTGCTGAATCAAACCCTGCAAAACAAAAGCTTTAAGCCAGATTGCATTGTAACCATCGCGCCCTTGATAGGGCTGATTGCTAACATGGGTATAGGTGTCATGGGGACTAAAACTGATAGTACAGAACAGATACCTGCTTCTATCAGGTTTCTATAAATATGTATCAAGTAACCGCTTGCCGTCTATCGAGCACGAAATAGCTATCCCATTAAATAATAACGCGATTATACTACCACCCATAAACGTTTCAACTGGAGTTCCAGCGCTGGTTTTTCTTTGCCAGATGTTATTTGATCACTCACCTGCAGCACATAACTGTTTCCTGACAGGTGAGTAAAACCTGGTGAGCTTTTGAATCTTTTTTGTTGCCAAGTTTGCTGAGGAGGTCAGCAGACTTGGAACTTGACATTGTACCTTTGCAGGTCCTAGCCCTCAGCAAGCATATTTTCTAATTCACATTCCCTATACTCCTAGGGGTGCAATGCATTTTCTCTCTGGATCTGATAAATCAAGTTTATGTTTTTCTTTTGCAATTCTCACTTTCTTTTCAAGTGTGTCCTTTAAGGAAATCTTAGTAAGACCCTGGTAGGAAATGAGCACCTAACAATCCAGCCTTGCTGCTGTATGATTCCCTAGATCACAGCTACACTATAAAAGAATGCTATGAATCTACTTTGTAATTTTACCATGATTTATTTTACTGAGCATTAATTAATCATTCTTTCACTGAAGAATTAACAACACACTTTTTTTCCAGCACAGAAGTGAATGGTTGCATTAACAAGTGGCTACAGACTGTTTCCAAGCAGGCAACCAAGTGTCAGGAAAACAAAAGGGGATTTAATGATTCACCAACGGGGAGTTTTTGAGATGGGGAGCTAGGACGCCTGTTTGCAGCACAGTTTGGTAAGGCTTCTTGGCTGATTGCTCCTAGTGGGATAGAAAATGGGACTGAATCCAGAATCCAAGGGGGATACTGGCTTGTACAGAATGCAAAAGGATCTAAAAATTTCAAGCTATGGACTTGGGTCCGTGCTGAGATTTGTGAAAGCTCAGCTGAGCTGAGTTCATGTTGGGGAGGTTTGCAAGGTTACTCCCTATAGCCTGCGTTTCTGACGCACAATTCAAAAAGCTTATTTCCCAGCAAACAACTCAGAAGAGCACAAAAGAGGCTTTTTCCCAGGCTTCACAGAGCTCGGGGGGTAACTCAAATCCAAGTAAACAAACCAAAACTTGGGGTCCTCAACCCCACCCCTGCACAAGACCCTTTGATTGTGCTGTCCAGTGGCTCCTCTCCACGGCTCCCAATGCTGCGGTATCGACCCCAGCTGGGACACGCAGCGGTGCTTACCTCCAGGACCATCTCTGTCATCTGGAACTGCTTCTGGGAGACCTTGTCGGAGCTCACGGGCTCGTGGAAGAGCAGGCAGAGCATGTCGTACTTCTTCAGGGCCTGCTTGTAGTTCTTCTCGTTCAGGTCGATCACTCGGTCTTTCCCATCGTAAGTGGGGAAGTTCAGTCCCTCTTCCGCCTTGCAGAAGAAAAGCAGGTAGAAACCTGCCAGGATCCAGCAAGTCGCCTTCATGGGGGAGCCCTTGGGGTGCAGCAGAGGGCGGGTAAATGTCCCCCTCCTTCTTGATTTAGGAAGAGGGGGAGACCAAAGGCTCCAGGTGAAGTTCAAACCGAGTTTCTCTTTCTGGTCAGCCCAAACGCCGCAAGGTTGGTGAGGAGCAGCAAACTTTGCTGTCCTGGGCTCACAACAAAGAGACAGACAGGAGAAGCTGTCAGGCCAAGCCCTGGATACCTTACATAGCTGTGTCCAGCTCCCGTGTCATTAGGAACTCCATTTTTAGGAAGCAGTTGTTTCAAGCTAAAAATAAACCCTGCAATGAATAAAAAGGACAGATATGACACCATTGAGGGACTTGCTGGCACTCTGCATCCTCTGAGAGAGAGGGAGCGAGCAAGAGGGAGGGAGCGGAAGATGTCGATGCTGGGATATACAGGCAGGGTTTGTGGAGGGACAGACTTTGCTTGTACAGGGAACCAAAGCACAGTCTGTCCTACTAGAGCTTAACAAAAATAGAAGGTATTTGCTGCAACTTATAATAAGGGTATCTCTCTGTATCCCCTAGGGCATCACAGTGATTAGGCTCTGGATGACAGATCTCGGGTTAAACAGTTCCAGATCCTCATCTGCACCTCTAGAGGAAAAGTCCTCAGCAGCAAAGGAGGTGAGCACTCGCGGGACTCCCTCCTCCTTCTCCTGCCCGGGGCACTGGCCGGAGCTGCTGTCTGACATTTAAGCTTTTTTGAAGCATCTTCTCTGCTTGTCGGGTACCAGAATTGCTCACCCATGGACCTATAATCCCAAAGCAGAGGGAAGCCTATGTTGCAGCCTCCCATGCCCCACCAGTTACCGAGACCTGTACATTGCTGGTGAGCGGCTAAAAGCTTTTTGTACTAAGGAGGATGAAGGGCAAGAGGCACATGCTCAGGCCAGTGTCCTGGGGCAGGAGCCAGGGCTCTCAAGACGATGGGCAGATGCCACCATCGCTGCTAGCGTCCCTTCTGGGGACCTGCCTATTGGGGTCTTCACACAACCCCACTGCATTTCCCAGCAAGTGGCTCTGCATATTCCTTCCTCTTCTTTTCCCGGGAGCGGTGACCAGTTCCCTCTTCCCTGGTAGTTCAGTGCTGGCCGCCTCTTTGCTGCACCCCCGGTACCATGCTGCCTGGGGAGAATGGTTCAGTGGCACAGGCTCTCACCTCTCCCACCTCCTCCTCCGGGGGTGTCGGCGCTGGCCCATGACTGGCAGCAACAGGCAGATGCAGGCAGGCCAGCTGGCCGCGTGCCAGCACCCGGGCTGACGCGGATCCACTGGAGAAGGCACGCTGAGGGGTTGGCAGAGAAGAGCCTGACAGGGGGCACGGGTCCATCCCCCGCACCCCCCCCCCGCCCCCCGCCAAAGCCATGTGCAGACAAGTGGCCTTATCAGGCCTCCTTCTTGCATGTTGCTCCATCACAGCCGTGCTCCGTCCCCACCGGGCAGGAGATGATGTCCCTTCCTGGTGCATGCAACTCTCGCCCTAACTAGCTGTGCCCACCTAATTGTATGGCTGGGATTATTTCAGTATTTGGGGTAAAAGGCTAAGAATTGCTAAGAATTACTTAGCAATTATAGAATCACAGAATCTTTTAGGTAGGAAAAAACTTTAAAATCATCAAGTCCAACTGTTAACATGTCACTGCCAAGTCCAACACTAAACCCTGTCCCTAAGTGTCACAACCACATGTCTTTCGAGTACCTCCAGGCATGGTGACTCAATCACTGCCCTGGGAAGATTACACCTACCTCCTGGGTGATTTAGGAGCACACATCCCCTTAGCTTTCACTTCCAAGCTGAACAGCCCATGGCACACAGACTGCAACTCCATGGACAACAGTTTCCAAGTCTGTCTTATTTCCAAATCCTCCTGTTCGTGTCCGCTCATGCCTTTTCAAAGGTTCAGTGTTTGCCTGCAACTTGAAGTCCTAATAGTGAAGCCTGAGGAATCTGGGTAGAAACGAGAGCAGGACAGCCTCAGAAATGTAATCCCTACAGAGGCACCCTTCATTTCTAGAGGGAGGTGGGACAAACCTGGATATGACTGATTGCTTTTAGAGAGACACAGGACTTGTGTCACAATGGGTGGCAAGGACTGGCTGGGCTTTTGCTTGACGTTTAGGCTGTAAAATGCACAGCTGAGCTTGTGGGATGACCAGGCATACAAGCAGCTGGTTGGTTGCCTTGGAAGGACCCCATGGATTTGGGGTGGAGGAGCAGGCTTCTGCTGGCAGCAGGCACACATCAGACAGGGCTGTAAAAAAGAAACATTCACACCAATTCACAATTGGTTTCTCAGGTTCCTGCCCTCCTTTTTTTCTTGTAGATCTTCAGCAATTGCTCCACTTTCATATCGCTCCAGCTATTTTCGAGGAACTTTCTCTCTGGTCTGAATAACTTTTTAATCTGCCTAAAAATAGACACAACCCAATTTTCATTTTCTCCTCTTTTTCCTATTAAATAAAAGGAACAAAAAGATATTTTATTCACGAAAAGTGTAGCCTCGTTAACTCCCAACACATCTATTTTATCTGCCTATGGCATGAGTAGCGAAGATTTGTGACCATTAGTCTTCACTTCTGCTCCAAAGGGAATTCCTTCAGCAGACTGACACCAAACGTCATGGTCATCAGAAAGTCCATCTCTTTGTCTCTCCACTCAAATCCTCAGTAGGGCTGTTAGTGCTAAATCCTGTGGACATTTTAGGACAGGCTCACTGTCAGGAAAAGGACAGTGTTTAGACCTCATGGATTTGGGGAAACTGAGTTTTGTTGGAGGCCCATTTCTATGGGACACTGAGGAAAGGTTTCTCTGCATGACAGATCCCCCCCGTAGGGTAGGAGTAACAGCAGCTCCCCATAGGAGGAGAGAATGCGGCTGGCAAAGAGATTTTCTGTGAAATCTTGAGTTTTACATCCACAGGTTCACTAAAAATACTTTGTGCTGTCTTTCTGCATAGTTCAAGGTCTTCTTGATCCCATTTAGCTGTCCATGGTTGCCAAAACATCTGTTTCTGTGGGCAGCGCCATGTGAGGGAATGATATGGTCAGCACTGTGTCCTGAGACATTTGTCTTGAGCTCATTCCCTGGAAAAGCTGGCATCTGTTAGTCTCTGATACAAGCTGATTGCAAGGCTCCACTCCTTAACCATCTTTTAGTCCTGCCTCTAGAAATCAGTATGATGCTGTCCCCTGGAAAACCACCCCACCATTCACCTGAAAGCTCTCTGAGAAATGAGCTGACAAGGCTCAATGCCCATCCATCTGGGCGTGTGCTCCCATTATTCAAACAACATTCAGAACTGGCCCCAAAACTTCAGGCAAAGAGAGTGAGAATTAAAGGAAAAGCTTGCTGTTGGTTTATCCACTATTCTAGGCTCTTTGGGGTACATACCTTGAGCAAAATTCTGACTCCAGGGAATCAGGTTGCAAACCCACCCCTGACACGCATCGAAGCAGGATTTTGCTTTGTTTCTTTGAATTTCGTAGGTAGCCAGCGACAGAAATACAGCAAAGTGCTCAGAACAGTGCAGTCTCAGCCCTTCGCGTCAGGCCTGCAGAAATGCAGGGTAGGGGTGTAGGATAAATAAAAATTTCCTTTTTGCTGGTTTTTTTTTTCCCCCAACTTGTATTAGAAATCAGGGATATCCACTTGCTGCTCTTCCCTCCCAGCCACTGCGGCCGCACTCCACACTGCCATTCTCACCTTCACTGTCCTTTCCAGCTTACGCAGTAAAAGAGGTCCCTAGCCACTGCTGATCCAAATGCTTGTGAGCCTTTTTTTTTTTTTTTCCAGAGCTTCAGGATTTAAGGTTCTGCTTTAGCTAATCTCTTTTCAAGCTCCTAAGACCTTGTATGTTTTGCAAGATAGGAGTATTCAGAAAATACGTCTTTTGCCACCAGCTAGCCAAGCAAGGTCACAGCTTGTAATAACTTTGAGGGTAGTGCTGTCGTTAGGGTGGAAGCCTCGGAGACATGCTGAACCTTCCTAAGGAGACTGAGGGGATCACTGTCACCTCGAGGAAAGCTCTGCAGTGTGAGAAAACCTAGTTCTCCCTCCATTCCCTTCAGCCCTGAAAGATGACGAGTCCTTCATGGTGCTTTACACTCATATTACTCTAATACAGTCATGTCAGTGATGGCAAGTACAAAGCAGAGAAGTTGTATCATTTACATTCCCTCCCCTTTTTTCCTGTATTAAACTGACAGAGATCTTCGTATATTTAGACTTGGGTGTCCCGAGACCTGCTGTGTGACAAGAAGATGCTACAAACCCTTCTGTTTTCTGACACACAGGCACTACTTCTGATGAGGAAAATAAAACACAGCACAGACAAAAGCACTTACATGAAATTATGTAGAAGTTGCAAAGGGAACATCAGTTCCCTTGAACTCAGATTCCCTTGAATCTCTCAAGTTCCCTTGAACTCAGAAGTCCTGACTCACTGAGCCACGTAGGGTCTCTGCCCATTGACATCTCAAAAAGTCTTGTCTTTTTTAGACATCATTTCTCCCAGATTAATGTTGCTCTGTGCCACCTTATGGGGATCATTGCGCCTCTCTGGGACCTGGTTTGGCACCTGTGTCTTACACAGGTCAGAAAATAGTTTAGAAGGTCATAACCGGGACCATCCCGGAAGGACTGGGGTAGTTACCCCCTAATGCGTTTATAAACCCTACACAGCAAGAAAGGATTTAACTCAGGGCAAAATGGAAATGGCCCATCGGCATGGCTGGAAATGGCTGGGAAAGCAAGCAATACATTGAAAATGAAAAGCATAAGGAGATATGTTGGAAGCAGACAAGGCTGCGGGGGTCTGACAAGGGACATGTGAAGGCAGCCTGCTGCAGTCGCTGGGGTACCCTTTAGGTGGCCTGGAAAAGGCTGCGGATAGCCTGCAGCAGGACACAGAACCAGTGACCTGTTACCCCTCCCGGCTGGGCTGAGAGCTCTGCCAGCCCGTGGGAGCTGGGTACAACTTACCTACAGGCATCCCACCCTGGAAAGGCTGGAGGGGCTCCCCTGGGGAGCTTCCTGCATGTAGCACTGGGATGCGAGGGTATTTGGCATTGTTTCTGTTGCTTATACAGGAGCCAGCAAACAGGCGCTATCTCTAACACACCCAGGGGGTTTCAAAGAAGGAAGAGCTTA